GGAGTGGGAGCTTCTTGGGCAGAGGCGTGTGGAGGGCATCCCTCCTCCTCTGGGCATTGGACATTAAACCCTCTTACAAATCAATGCTCGAGTGTCATGTCAACGGGATGGGTTGGGCGTCACGAAGGTGGTCTCTCCTGCTGGGGTTAGGGACCTCGACTGGGGCGCAGTGAAGAGGGGGAGCTTGGCTCCTTGAGGTCCAGCGTTGCTAGGACACCAAGTCCTTCCAAGACTCACAGGCTCCCAACCGGCTGACGGCATCTTCCTTCTTCTCTGGTCTTCCTCCCCTACACGCCTCCTGCCTCCTCCCTCCATGAGCTTCCCCTCCCTGCCCCTCTGCTCCCCAGCCTGCCCCACACCACTCCAGGCCCATCCAGCTCCCGGCTGACTCATCCTCTTCAGCCCCTCTACCCACTGTACTGTTTTCTTCCTGCCGGGGCCCTGCAAGGATGTGAGTCATCCTGTCCCAGAGCTGGGCGCTATGGTCTGCTAGGGATTGACTGATGCTCCCCCCTATGATGTGTCCCCTCCCAAACCCTAACCCCCATAACTGTGGGTGTTGTTTTATTTTGGAGTAGACGACGACAAAGCCATATCAACTTAGACAGAAACGAAAACCCTCCCTGCCAGTGAACCTCTAGGACAGAGGGGGACTGCCCCTGGGGGTTTCTGAGGCAGCAACTCTTTTTCAGAGTGCTTTAGTGGCACGTGATCCACACGTCATACAATTCAGCAATCTAATCCTACGGGGAAGAGTTGTACAATCCTCGTGGCCATCAACTTCAGGACAATCTTCTTCTTGTGCGCGTTGTTAGTAGCTCTCCGTTCCGCTCACCCTCCCCTGTCATGCCCCCAAGAAACCGTTCATCCAGCTACTGTCTCTCGATTCACCGCTCCTGGACTTCATCTCCGGGAAGCCCTGCCAAACAGCAGCAGCAGCAACACCACTAAGCTCACAGCCAAACAAAGTGAAACCGAGGAAATCCTCAGTCGGAAGGAAAGTAGGAGATATTAAAAAAGAGAACACGTTTTAAATTGGTTAAAAGGGAAATCAAATGATAAGGGATTACGTGTTCACCTGCCTGCATCTGCGATAACCCAGTTCTCAAAGCACTCAGCACCGGAGCAAGGCTTCTCACCTGCTTGGTTTACGGTCAGAGGGGATTCATGGGAGGTTAGATCCACGTGTTTCTCTCCTTCACTTGGTTTTTTTAAAAAACTAAAACAACTTTTAAATAGTTCAAACGGGAGATCAAATGAGCCCTGGTTGGGTAGTGGTTATGTGTTGGGCTGTGATCCGAAAGGTCCGCAGTTTGAAACCACGAGGCGCTCTTTGGGAGAAAGGCAGAGCTTTCTACTCATGTGAACCGTTGGTCTTTGAAACTCACAGGGGCAACTCTACCCTGTCCTATCGGGTTGCCAGGAGTCAGAGTGGGCTTGATGACAGGGAGAGCTTGAATGGTGTCTGTCATAATTGACTTTACAGTACTCTCTGTCTGATAACAAGGTCACTCACATCCCTTGACTTTGGTCAGAGGGAATTCACCTAAGCCTGAATCCATGTGTGGGCCCTGCAAATGGATTTGGGGCTTCCACCGTCATCCATAGCCTGTTGCAAACCAGGTATTCACAATTTAAGCCCTGATACCATTCACTCCTTCAAATTTGGATTCTATTACTTACAATCTTGGACCACACAGGCTAGTGTGCTTCCTCCATGTTGACGCCTCATTTAGATGGCTACTTGTTTGGAGATAAGCCTTAAAGATGCTATTCTTTTTATAGTCGGGCACCATCTAGTTTCTTCACCATAGAAGAAACCATGCTTTACCACCCATATCTTCAGTGATCTCTTCATGAGGGGGGAGCATCAAGCAGGACCATCAGATAAGAACTAATTGTTGTTAGATTGGGGCTAGAATGAGTCCTGGCCGTGTGACTGGGCAGCAGACACGGGGAAGGAAACCCACGCCTGTTGCTGGAGTCCCTGGGTGGCTAGCGC